TGATAGTTAAAATGTCCAAAATACCCTTAATGACTAAATAAATGCAGGATTTTTGGTATCCGTTAGATCATTTAATTCGATGGTTGTGATGTATTCTTATTTCTTTCATTGGGAACCATTCTCATGTGAACACAACCCTATATATATATATATAGGGATTGGTTCAAATAAAAACTATGTCTGGTGTGAAAACCATGAGAACCATATTTGATGTTATTTTTAATTGTGTATGATGCTATTTTTAATATTGCATTATGAATTATTTTCACAAATGCTACTAAAAATTTTATTGCTATTTTTTATAAAATACATTATAGTTAAAAATAGCACTAAAACACAATCAATCATAGCACTACATACAATTAAAAATAGTGGTTCTCACGATTCTCACGCTAGGGCTTGGTTCTCATTTGAACATCCTATATATATATATTCAAGAATTAATATTATCGTTTATTCTTGATTATTTAATTAATTGGAGAGCAAATGTTATACTTGGATGAAAGATAGAAGGGAAATAGTAATTTGGTTCCTTATCAATTATGTGGTCTTACCCATTTGTGGAGGATGAACGTGTCATGTGTCATGTGTCAAGTCTAGTTTATACAACAACAAAAATAGTACTCTACATATGGTAAATACACATGGAACAGAATTACTAGTTCCAACTCTCCATACACACATGTTTCAAACCAATGCCCTTGTCTCAAGGTGAGACCTGGCATTTCTCATCACAAATCTTAAGAAAAAGAAAAAATTTTGTCTAAATTCCAATCACAATAAATCATGCATAACTAACATTTGTTCCACCTTTTCTCTTTCCTCCCACTATTTAACCTGAAACTCCATGCTCCAAAATATTACAATTCAAAAGTTGCAATTTACATATTAATATCTTATACAGAGTGGTAAAAAAAAATATATAATGGCTACCAAAAATTGGTCATTGTTGTTACTGTTGGTGTTGAATGTCTGTTGTTTGTCGAAAATATTCGCCCTCGGCCTTGAAGATGACTGGCTGCACTGGAGTGAGGAGGAGGAGGCGGCTAACAGCTGGGACAGTCGTCACCACGAGGAGAAGGCCAGAAAGTGGCCATTCTTATTGGAGGACTCGAAGCACGTGGTGAAAACCGATGCAGGGGAGATGAGGCTAGTGAGGGGCTATGCAAGCAAATTCGCAAAAAGCCCAATACACATTGGGTTCATCAGAATGGAGCCTAGAAGTCTTTTTATACCTCAGTACCTTGACTCGAGCCTTATCCTCTTTATCCATTGTGGTATATATATCATCCTTTTCTGCATTCATACTTCTGGGGTTGTATGTGTTAACTGTTTGTTTGTGGGAGTACCATTAGCTTTACTTAAGGAAAATCCAAACTCTCTTATTTCTAATTAATATGAACAACTGCAAAACTATACATGAGATTCAATCCAAAAAAAAAAAAATTGTCAACTTTCAAATATATATGCAGTTGAAGTTGCTTTGTAGTTGGACTATAATATTAGATATAACTATTACAATTGTTCCTTATAATTATTACTGATTTATTATGAAACGAAAGTACACTTGGAATTCCAAGGCGCATCGTGTGTGCTTGTGTTCTTTCCATCTTGTACTAGTTGGTTAGATATCGAACCTCATTTGGTCACAGGTGAAGCAAAAATTGGGCACATAAACAAAGGTGAGCTTGTGGAAAGAAAGTTGAAGAAGGGTGACATATACAGAATAGAAGCCGGGTCGGCCTTTTATCTGATTAATAGAGAGAAGGGTCGTATCCTTCATATAATTTGCAGCATTGATACATCAGAGAGTTTAGGGTGGCACACAATTCAGGTTAATTAAAATTTGTCAGTCGTTTAATGTAATGGAAAGACAATATTAAATAATTTTCTTACACTTGTTTTATTGATGTGTAAACATTGACAGTCGTTCTTCGTTGCTGGCGGAACATATCCAGCATCAGTTCTTTCTGGATTTGATCATGCAACTTTATCAGATGCATTCAATGTAAGCTAACTTTAATTCTTCTTAGAAACTATCCTTGAGCCTTGACCAGAAGCATCTTCATTATTAATGAATCCCAAAGTGGTACAAGGTAAAGTAAGTTTAAACCTTATAGGAATAGTTGTAGTTTAGTCATTAGTGTTTCTCTTTATTCATTATTATTATTTTTCTAGCAATTTGGCTTGACTAAGTAAGATAGTTTTTGCAATTATGTATAAGTAGTTTATATCTTTTGTTTATTCATAGGTCTCAGAAGCAGAACTAGGCAAGATGTTTACAAGGCAAAATAACGGGCCGATCATATACTTATCAAGTTCCGGTCACCCTAGCGTGTGGTCTGAATTCCTAGAAATGAAACAGCATCACAAGCTAGCGCACATGAAAAGAGTTGTCCAAATCGGAAGAGGAGGCGACAAATATATTGAAGAGGAGCAATCAAAATGGTCTTTTAGGAAGTTTTTGTTCTCACTCTTTGGAGAGGTAGAAGGAAAAAGGGAGGAAAGTGGGCATGAAGTGGATAAAGCGCCCGATTTGCAACATCTTTGACAAAGAGCCCGACTTCAAGAACGACTATGGGTGGAGCACTACATTGGATGAGTCTGATTATTCGCCCCTTGAGCATGGCGATGTTGGTGTTTATCTCGTCAATCTCAACGCGGTAATGTCCATTCTCGAAGCTCATGTGTACAATATTTGACACGTAAAACACAATCTTTTTATTTCAAAGCCTAAGAAGATTTGACAAATTGCAGGGATCAATGATGGCACCTCACATGAACCCGAGAGCAACCGAATACGGGATAGTACTGAGAGGCAGTGGTGTGATCCAAATAGTATACCCCAATGGGAGCCTAGCAATGAAGGCACGGGTAGAAGAGGGCAACGTATTTTGGATCCCCCGTTACTTCCCCTTCTGCCAGATCGCGTCCAAAGGTGGTTCGTTTGAGTTCTTCGGGTTCACCACCTCAGCACGCGACAACAAGCCCCAGTTCTTGGTGGGGGGAAACTCGCTCCTCCATGCAATGAGAGGGCCTGAGTTTGAAGCTGCATTTGACATGAGCAAGGATGGGTTGAAGGAGATCATCAATGCTCAGCGCGAGTCTGTTATTTTGCCGACTTTTCAAGAGTATAGACAATGAGATGGTCATGTAGTTTTTGATTGGGAGGAATATGTGTTCTTATACATCTTTTCCTGTTTCAACCATTTTATTTATCTTACTCAGTTTATTCTTTCTTTTTTCATGTTTCCATTTTGAGGTGCGGTGATTCTATCATATGTATCCGCCTACCGGTTTTGTGAATAAGTTCTTGAGTTTCTTGGACAATAAAAATTCAAACTTCATATACATCATGGTTCTTATCTCAAGCTTTTGAATAAATTCTTGGCAAAACGGCATAAATGTGATGGTTGGCAAACCATAGCAGTCTTGTTATTTTGATAAAAGAGCTCAATGATTTAAAAGATGCCAATAGTTTATCTATAATCTATATCTATTCTATTCTATAACTTCTATAATATAATAATAATAATAATAATAATAATAATAATAATAATAATAATAATAATAATAATAATAATAATATAATATAATATAATAATAATAATAATAATAATAATAATAATAATAATAATAATAGTAATAATAATAATAATAATAATAATAATAATAATAATAACTCCCTTAAAAGTATGAGTAGTTTCTTGAAACTTTTGAAGTGCCAAGAATGCCCTTACTAAAGATAAGTTTTAAGATTATGAATGTAATTTTCTTATTAATATTAAGAAGTTACAACTAACAATATTTGTTAAATTTTTAAACTTTCATTTCTTAATTTACTTTTATTCATTATGTTTTATTTTTTATACTTAATTATATCTTAAAGTTTTTACACAAAAATATTATCTACGCAAATTGATAGATTTTAAAAAATAATATATTTTAAATTATATTAATCATAATTAGTCTACATACGACGTATGACATTAGGTTTCAGTTTTGTTATTTTAAAAGTAGTTTTTAAATGTAAGAGAAGATATTATTTTAAATAAAATATTTTTATTTCATAAGTGTAAAATAAATAATGAATCAATGAGAATACCATCTATAATTTCCAACTATCATATTGTTACTATAGAGATTTTTTGTTACAATATTAAAAAAAATTAAAGAGGAAAAATTTAGTGAATATGCATATGTTTAAGAAGGATTGAATGAAAAATAATTTTTCAACATACAAAATGTCAGTTCTTTTGTGAAAAAATGTAATTCGTTAACTGAATAATAGATAAATACAAACAGGTTATCTACGAAAATATATAGATTGTAAATAATTTATTTTTAATTATAGTATTCAGAATTAATCTACATATGACGTTAGGATTCAGTTTGGTTATTTTAAAGGTAGTTTTTAAATGTAAGAAAAAATATTAATTTAAATAAAATATATTTTTATTTCATAAGTGTAAAATATATAATGCACCAATAAAAATATCATTTCTAATTTCCAACTATTATATTATTACTACAGAAACTTTTGTAATAATATTAAAAAAAACTAAAGAGGGCAAATTTGGTGAATATGCATATGTTTAAGGATGATTGAACGAAAAATAATTCTTCATCATGCAAACTGTCAATTTTTTTGTGGAAAAAAGTTATTCGCTAAGTGAAAAATATATAATCTTAAAATATATTTTTTTAAAATTATTCACTAAAACAATATGCATAATATGATTTAGGTTTACCTGTTAATAATAGTATGTATAATATATGTTCTTTTATGATAGTATGTGTTACATAAATTAATCTACTATCTATTTTAACTGTAATATAAATAAAAATAGAGTAATTATAAAAATTAAATAAAATAACTAAAACTCTATTTTAAATCTTGAATTTCAAAAAATGTGCACTTATTAAAAAATAGTTACAATTAAAATATGCTAAATAAAAGTAAATAGTACATTTACTTTAAATTTATTGTCATTAGCCACTCTTATTTATAAACCTAGCATTAATTTTGTGCACATGCACATGTTACCAAAAAAAAATATTATATATAAAAATCATAATTGAAACAAAATTTTACTCAATAGTATTTATAATTGAATTAAATTAAAGACCCTTAGCTGAATTTTTATACT